TAAATAATAGACCTGAACTATCCTGCACCATCCTCACCACCTCTGACATGCTCAAGTCCACTGTTACAGTCATGGTGCTAATCTATTTTGTTGAAGATCTTCCTCTTAATGCATCCTACCTTAATCATTTTGTTATTAGTTGCTGTTGAGGCAAGTATGACAGTGACCCTGTGAACAAATATTCTGAACCCTGCTCTATCCTGCGCCACCCTCTTAATTCCCAACACACAAGAACCCACTGCAGCAGTCACTGGGTAGACGATGTTATTGTTTTTACTCATTTCAACTGACTTCCAGTTTGGGTTCTACCACTACACTACTATAACTATCCTCTTTCTTTAGTGTTTATAGGGTTTTCAAAGGCCTGTTTTAGGAAGTAGATGGCCCATCCTGCTTTCAAAACCTTGATCTTACTCTACTACTTCTCTAATCTTAGCTATTGTCAAGGACATATCATTCCAATGTTAACATCCTACTCTTAAGCCACTGGAAGTTCTGTCCCTTCTGCTTTGCTAATAAGCAACTTCAAATAACCATGTACTTTCTTCTCGCTGAGAAATATTCAAGTTCCCAGTGAAAATGAAGAAAATGAGAACAAATCTATGAGACTCAAAATACAACTTAAGAGGAAGAAAATGAGAACAAATCTATGAGACTCAAAATACAACTTAAGAGCCTTTCCCAACTTTTTAAGAATCATCTCACAAACAGATTTGATACACTGAACACTAATGGCTTAAGAATAGACAAATTGTAGGATGGCATCAATGACATCAGCCATGAAGAAAGAAAAAGGCCATTACAAACATAGGATGGAAAGAAAGAAAGAAAAGACAAAAATGGATGTCAGTAGAGACCCTGAAATTTGTACTAGAATGTAAACAAGGCAAGACAAAGGGAAAGAATATTAAGAGAGGGAACGGAAGACTCCAAAAGCAGCTTGAGAAGATATAACAAAGTATTATATAATGAAATGTGCAAAGAAGAGGAATTAGGGTTGCTATGCATCATAGACAATTCAATGGCACCCAACAACAATAGAGACACGTCCTCAAATAAAAGTCAGATACAGTTTCTAAATTCAGCTGACTAGTCAGTGGCTAGTCCATAATCAGTGGTGTACTCCTTCACTCACTCTTCTGAGTAACTTTCCAAACATGCACATTATCTCAAATCTCCTGTTCATGTTCCAGAACACATTACTTGAAAATGTTCCCAGAAAAGCTAAACATTGTGTAAGCTTGATAATATTGTGGCCCTTTCTTGGAGATACACAGTATTTCACCTGTTTTTAAGAGATCTGAACTATTTTCAGTAAAGAAGCTGGGGTTTCTTTCTCTTTTTTAAAAATGGCTCACTTACAAAGTTGTGTTTGACACTATTCTTCATTCACATTGTGTTTCATACAATCATTCTCATACATTATATTTTATAAAATTAATCACCATTGGATTTTGCCCACCATTACCTTGTTTCCCCCCCAGATCCTTCCCATTTCTTTCCCCCTCCCTCCACCCACCAAACTGTGCAACCCTGTGGTTTTATCCCTATCCATCCTCAGCCCTCCCCACCTTGAGTTCCCATACATGTTTTACTACTTATTATTCAATTATGCAATATTTGTCCATATGAGACTGTGTTAGTCTACTTGGCATAATGCTCTCCAGCCTTTCTCAAGTTATGTAGTATTTTTAAAAATTGTTGCACCTGAGTACTGCATAGTATTTCATGTGTGAATGTACCACAATTTTTCAGTCTGACTGGTTGTGGCTGGACATCTGGGATGTTTCCATGTTCTTGCGATGGTGAATAACACTGCTATGAACACTGGTGTACAAATCTCCATTTGTTTCTCAGTTCTCATTTCCTTGGCATATATTTCTAGTAGTGAATAGCTGGCTCATATGGATTTTCTATGTTCAACTTTTTGAGGAAACACCAACCATCTTCCAGAATGGTGGCTGTACCATTATACAATCCCATCAACAGTGTATGAGAGTTCCACCTCTCCAAATCTTCTCCAACATTTATTGCTTGCTGCCCTACTAAACTTTGCCACTGCTACAGGGGTGAAATGATATCTCATTGTAGTTTTGATTTGCATCTTTCTTGTTGTCAGTGATTTCAAGCATTTCTTCATGTGTCTGCTGGCCACCTGAATGTCTTCCTCTGTGAAAAGTATTTCCACGTCTATTGCTCATTTTGAAACTGAGTTATTGGTCTTTTTCTTCTGGAGGTCCAGGAGTATTCTGTAAACTTTTGTTGTGAGACACTTGACTGAGATGGTATTGCCAAATGTTTGTTCCTACTTGGTAGGTTTTCTTTTCACCCTGTTGGAAAAGGTTTTTGATGAGCACAGAGATTTAATCTTTAGTAGTCCCATTCAGGAGTTTTATTCTCTCCAGAATGGGCATTTCTGGTTGTATTTGACAGTCTCTTTATACCATGGGTTAGGCTTTCTAAGCTTGGCCCCACTTTGTCTCTTATGAACTTTATTGTTCTGGGCTTTACTCCCACCTTGAGTTGGTTTTTTGTATATGGTGTGAGATGTGGATCCTGTTTTAGCAGGTAGCAGTCCAGTTTTGCCAGTACCATTTGTTGAAGATAGGTTTTATTTACTTGATAGGTTTTATTTACTTATCGAATATCAGCTGACCATTGATAGATGGGTTACTTTTTGGATTCTCGATTCTGTTCCATTGGTCTATGTGCCTGTCACCATACTATTTTGGTTTCTACCACTATATAGAAGGAGGTCAGCAAGTGCCTTCCACTTCATTGTTGTTTTTCAGAAGCTCTTTGCTTATTTGGGGTCTACTTCTTCTCCAAATTAACTTCACAATTTCCCTTTCAATGATTGTGTTGAACATGTAGACTGTAGAACATTTTCATAATGGTGAGTCTTCCTATCCACGAACAGGGAACATTTTCCATTTCTTTATATTGCGTTTTACAGGAATATTCTGTAGTTTTCTTTGTATAGGTTTTTTTGTGTCTCTAGTTAGGTTCACTCTCAAATAATCTCATTTTGTGTCTGGCTATTGTAAATGGTATTATTTTCTGACTTTTCATCAAAGAAGTTGTTTTTAACTCTGAATTTATAAATTTATTTAACAATGGGACCTCATTTTCAAGGACATAAAAATGATAGTGCTATTGTTGTTAGGCACCATTCAGTCAACTCTAACAGTGGGATCGAAGTAAAACAGATGAAAACCTTGCCTAATCCTCTACCACTGTAATGATCTCCACTCTGCTTATGGTCACTGTTGCAGTCACCATGTCAGTCCATTTCATGATGGCTCTGTCTTCCTCTTCTTTGTTGCTCTTGTACTTTTCCAAGGAATGGCCCCTCCTGGTAACATGCCTAACGTATGAATGGCGTTGACTTTCTCATCTTGACTTCTTTATCTTTACCTTCACATCTAATTTCATATATAGTTCCTTCTAGTGTCAGAAGATAACATGTTTTTCCATTCAGTCTAAGTCAACCTCTACACATATATATTTTTTATCCTAATCCTTACTAATCCCAAACCCCGATTTTGACATTATCTCTATCACTTTTGGAAGATCTGGTAACATACCACAAAGGGAGTCGCATTGCTAACCTAAAGCCATAAACTTTAGTTCAAACGGACCAACGGAGAAAAATGAGCAATCTCCTCTCATGCAGTTTACAGCCTCAGAAACCCAGTGAGACAGTTCTGACTTGAATGCAATGACTTCATTTATATCTAAATGTCTTAAGTCTTCACAGCCTGTCACTGAAGTCTTGTTTCAGTTTCTAAGCATTTGATATAAATCTAGAAAGTTTGTGTTGAATTTCTAAACTATACCATCTACTAAGATACTCCTTGGCTGAAGCCATTGTCAGTCTACCACTATATATTTCTTCACAATTCTATTTTCCCACTGCCAAGTTTACTAATAATAAAAGACTGACAATGTTATAAGATGCCTACTTAACAGATTCCTTACTGGATTCTGAATTCATCCACAATATATCAGTTGAGATTCTTTGCATAAAAGGCTCCCATTAACCATTCCTTTCTAATAACTGTCTTTTTCTGTTTCATTGTATTGCATTTTGGTTTATGATCTAAAAGTTTACAATGGCCTACAGTTTCTCTGGTTTTTTTTCCTCCTACATGTTCTTATGCTCACTATGTAGGGTTAAGTATTCACCCAGTACATTCTGCCCGTGTTTCCCAGTGCTTAACTCTCGGTCACACTTTAGTATGGAACTTAGCATTTTCTTGTCACTCGTACTTCGCTGCCACCTAGATTACGATCCTCTTGAATACCTGGCTATTCTAGTAGTCCTTTAGGTTCTCACAGCATCATTCTAGGACAATGATTTTGTTCTTCGTGTTTCACTGTAAAAACATTATGTATTTAAAAATAAAAAATTTAAAAAAAAAAACCATTATGTATTTCCAGAGTAGGGACTGATATTCTTGAATCTGTAACAGCACTTGATGCCTTGAACAGAGCAGTACTTATTAAACAATGGTAAAATGGAATTCTTTCTTTACCTCTTCATCTACCTATAGATCTGTAGTTGTTGTTGGGTGCTATCAGGGTGACTACAACTCACAGCAAGAAAGGATCTAGTTTTTTCCCTCTGGAAGTTCAGGATTCAAAAATATTTGATAAAGAAAAAATGTACACATGCCCCTACCTATATTGGGATTTTCCCCCTAGTTGATTGTTTAAAGCATTACTTTTGTTTTCCTAGATTATTTAAACTATGTTTAACTAAAATAATGTGATAGAGTAGCCTGGAGGTCTAGTGGCAAGGAATTGTGCTGTTAATCCAAAAGCAAGTGGTTCAAATCCACCAGCTGCTCTGTGGAAGAAAGATGGGCAATCAACTCTTCTTGCCTCTTAAAACCTGTTGGATGGTCAACTATGAGTCAATCTCAACTTGGTGTTACACAATCACCACCACAGGGAATCTTGAAAAGGCACAATAATCTCAGCCAAGTTAAACTTACATTCGGCTAGCTTCAACTTCGTCAGACTGAGGTTCTCTGGATGATCTGTAAAATACAATTGAGGAAGTTTCAGCAAAAACAGTCCATAGTCTAAAACGGGCAGTTATGTTATTTTGGAAGACAAAAAGATGGAAACAAGATTTAAACACTAAACAATCTTTAAAAATAATTTAAGATTATAATGCAAGAAAAATATAGTTAGATCATACTGTTCTAAACATTTAAGGAATTAACTACTGAAAGCTCAGCATGTTTTTAAAGGAAAAGAAACTTAAAATGCTACATTAAGCTATTAACCTATAAAATCAGAACAATACATCATAACTAATCAGAAAATCAAATATTTTCATGATAAAACATATAATTCTGAAACTTTCTACTATTCTCTTTTTTATCCAACATTGGGCTTTCCTAACATGCAGTCACAAATTTTAGACCTGTGGTTGGCAAATTATGGCACAGGCTAGCCATTTCTTATCCTAAATAAAATTTTATTAGAACACAGTCATATTTGATTTATTATGTATTGCCTGTGGCTGCTTATACACCACAAGAACAGTGCGGAATAAACTAAGACAGATCATATGGACTGCCAAGAGCATACAGAATGTAAGTGCTTATTATCTGGCTCTTTAAGAAAAAGTTTATCAATCTCTGCTCTAGATAAACTCAAACTTAATTGTCTTAGTCAATTTTGAAATATTTCTAGAAGATTTAGCATTCTGGCCATGACTATTTTGATTCAACAGAAGCATTAGCTTCTTCTGAATATAAACTAGCAAAATATACTTACTACTTGTCAAAAGAATACTAATCATCTAAGAATATTTAAATTTTTATATGAATAATTGTGAACTGGCAGTTATTAACACTTGCTGGTTATTTTCCATTATTTTTAAATATGTTGCTATCATACATGGTGCTCTGAGGTCAGTGTATAAAGACACTTAACTGAAAGGCTGGTGGTTCAAACCCACCAGGCACTCATAGGGAGAAAGACAGGCAATGTCTTCCCATAAAGATTTGCAGCCTCAGAAATCCAATAGAGGGTCATTAGGAGTTGGACTCATATTGACAGCAAAGGATTTTAAATTTACCATATATATAGACATTCAAAAGTCCAAGGCACTAACAAGCCTTTCACCTGCATTTTGGGAACTGGAGGTCATTTTCCTATCCCTATGATACTCTGAAAAACATAAATTTCTACTGGTCTATTAATTTTCATGACTAGACAAACAGCTCAGTTAATGTGTATTAAGATGCATCAACATAATGGTGATTGCTAGTTGTTTCAAATTCCCCAAATAAGTCAAAAGCTAATTTTTCAAAATAGTACTAAAGAATTGATCTGTGAATTTATCTATAAACTTCAAGCTTTTTGAAGACTACAGACTTCAAACTGTGAACTTTAATAACAGAAACTTAATCAGAACAATAGAAGAAATGTTTTTATGTTCCTTAACTACTAAAAGAAAAAAAAAACAAAGCTAAAACTCACTTTCTCTATCACACTTTCAAAACTGTCACTCATTATAAGATTTAAAGTCATTCATATTCTAAGGACAAGTGGGGACGCAAACAAGTATTTCAGCTCGATTATTTTATATCTTCTTGGTATATTTTATGGTTTAATTTTGCATAAAATTATAAAAGAACTAAAACTGGGGCATGCTGGAGGTGGCAGTGACATGGCAGTGACACAAATGCAAAAATTTCACTCTACCCTCTCCCCCAGGGAGCAAGCAAATCACCTTTGTGACACACCTGATCTCCACCAGCCTTGTGGGTAAGTACCCCAAGATTGCTTCCAAACTTGTATCTCCCAGACAGAAGAGCTAAAAATTGATGATAACCCCATGTACCAGCTGACTCATTTTTGAAAGTGCGACCCTCCAGCATCAGATGTCATATTGTAAGAAGGCAGAGCTGGCTTGCAAAACAAAAAAAAATAAACCTGCTGGCACTAAGGGAAGAGAGGTGAATTAGAAGCTTTCAAACATGTAGGCAGAAAATTTTTTTAAATTAACAGGAAAAGAGAAAGACAGAAGGAGAAGGATGAGGAAACAATAGGAAAACAAAAATATCACTGCAAAAAGGTAAGACACAGCAAGGAGAGCCAATCTGTGTATTAGAAGTAAAATACATAACTGCTGCAAAGTTTTGAGAGTCTGAAATGGGAAAGATATAAAATATATCACTATACAATAGATAAAGTCTATGTTTCTAGTTCCTATTCTCTAAAAACAAGGGGAAATGAGAACAGAAACAGCAATACAGCACCAAATTATAAATTTACTAAGTTATCATTTAATAATAACTAGTATGAAAGCTAATAAACATTTATAATTCAAACTTGGTAATTGAAACCAATCCAATCTATAAGAGAGACAAAAGATTATTATACTGACAAAAGATCTGTTCTGGGTCTCTTAAACCTGTCAACCATAAGTCACTTCCTATTTAAATTAGAAGCTGATTGCTTTTTAATAAAGAGAAAAGTGGATATGCTCAAACAGAAGCAATTTTTCTGCAATGAGTAATATGTAACTGTACATGTCTGGTGCATTTCAGTAAATTAGTATTATAAATTAGAATAATTAAAAAATATCTAATATAAGGACTCTCAAAACTATGAAATATCTAATATCTACGAGTTATTCCAAAACCTTATTTTGACCCCTAAAGTAGACAGCTATTTTTAACTGTATAGCATGCTTATATCATATTCTTATCATCATAAGAAAAAGCAAACAAAAATATATTGAGTTAAATTAACCTGAAGTTCATCAGAGTAACAAATTGGGAACATTTCTAATACAATAAGCCAAATTCCATTTGAAAATTGAACACAAAAATTGAACATAAAATTGGGACAACTGTCCCAATTTTATGGAGTTTCTTTAGATTACAGAAAATATGATCACCCACTATCAATTAAACTGAATGTGAGCTAGCAAATTCAAATGATGTCTCATTTCCCATAATAGTGGGTTCAGGGAACAACGGTGCTCTGGAAAGGAACAATTCTACAAACTATTCCTTTTACTACCCCCACGAACTCTCAGGAAAAATAAACACACTCAATTTATTAAAATTGTAATGTTGTCTAGAAGTGTCTCGTTAAAACTTCCATCACACAAAAGCACAGTTTTAAAAAGCACATATACAGGCTTTATTTATATAGGTCTTTCAAGGGGATTAAGTCCTCACTACTAACTGAAAAAATAAACCCAAAGGTACCAGAGAGAATAAGACTGGTTATGTGCATCCAATGCACCATGGCCTTGAAAAGTTTATGGAGAATAGCTGTAATCTGCACACACTAAACTGACTAGAAGCAAATGATTTGGTACTGATACTTTCAATGGGGAAAAGAAGTACTAAAATATTTTAAGTTCATGTATCAATAGAGAAGTTCAATCATTTTGCTATTCTTACAGCAGTGTCTGCCAACTGTCATTTTTATACCATTAATGTTACTTTATAATTACAGCCTTTAAAAGGCTGTAAAATACATTCAACATTACCTTTTACAAGCTGTGGCCATTCGGTGACATCAGGGTGATCACAGCTTTGAGAGACTGATTAAAAACAGGTTGTCACACCAGTCTAGCTGCTAACTTGATCTGAGCGTAGGCTTAATAACTCTAATAAATTAAACAAACCTTTAATTAGAACACTTCAATATAATGCAAATAATTTTTGAGAAAGTAATCTTCAAAGCTTCAAATTAAATGTCAATATAAAAAATTTTAAAAATTATTCTAGAAATACTTTTAAAAGCTGGTTTCCAGTACACTCCCCCCTCTGAAATGATCTATTCACGGTGAGAAATGAGTAGCAGTCTTTTGCACTTTCATAGAGTTCTGCAGTTTACAAAGCATTCTGGTCAACATTATCTTATTTGAGTCTCATGAAATTGTTGATTCTACCAAACCAAGACAGATGCTATATCATTAACTTAAAGGAATCTCAGAGTAATTAAATTACTTGCCCAAGATTTCAGATTTATTTTTTTTAAATAATTTTAATGAGCATTTACAGAGATTTTGGATTTCCATTCATTCATTGCTGCACTTCTCTCCCCGCCCACCCCCCACCCCCCCAGTTTGTGCCTCTCTTTCAAAAGTAAAAGAAACACTCCTTCCCTGGTACACAATCCCCCCGCACCCCTCCCACCAGCCCAAGTACATTCCACTATGCAACCGTAATTGTGGACTCTAGAATGTGGACTAAAACCCAAATGTTTTGACTTTTTCCAGTGCTGAATTTTTGTTTGGTCTAGTTCTGTTATACAGTTTCATGATCTAAATGTCTGTAAATGGACAAAAATTTAAAATATAAAGTGGGGCCTCAATTTAAGCAGTCGTTTAAATGGGATTAATTTAATAGCAACTAAAAAGGCAAACCCACTGCCATTAGGTTGATTCAGACTCATGACAATCTTCCATCAAGTTACTAAGGCTGTAAATCTTTATGGAAAGTGTCCATCTTTCTTTATGGTGTCGTTGTTGGATTCAAATTACCAACCCAGTCGATTAACAGCAGTTCAATATCTAATGTACTATGGCACAAGGACTCCTTAGTTTGTTGTTGTTATATGCCATTAAGTCACTATGACTAACAGCAACCTAATGAACAGATCTGTATCCTGTCCTAGCCTCTGTCATCTTCATCATCTGATATTCTTGAGCCAACTGTTACAGTCGCTGTGTCAATCCAACCTGTTAAGGACCTTCCTCTCTAATACTGACCCTTCCACATTTCCAAGTATGATGTCCTTCTCCAAGAACAGCCTCTCCTAATATGCCCAAAGTGTGTGAGATGAAGATTCATTATCCTTACTATCAGGAAGCCCTCTGTCTGCACTTTCTCCAAGACATTTTTGTTTGTGCTTTTGGCAGACTATACCACAACTCAAAGGCATCAATTTTTCTGTCATCCTTATTCATTGTCCAACTTCCAGATGTATAGAAAATAACTGAAAAGGCCAGGATAAAGTGCACCTTAGTCTTTAAACTGATGCTGCTGCTCTTTAGCATATAAGGTGTTAATTCTCCCAACGCAACATGTTTTGTGATTATTTGACTGCTGGTCCCCAGGATGTTGATTGTGGATCCAAGTAAGATGAAATCACTGACAATTTCAATCTTTTCTCCAACCATCAGTATGCAGTCTACTGGCCACTTAGGATTTGTTTTCTCTATGTTGAGATGTACTCCATTCAGAAGGATGTGGTTTTTGATCTGCAGTAAGTGTTTTAAGTCATCTTTACTTAAAGTGAGCAAGGCTATGTCATTTGTATAACGTAAGCTGTTGATGTTAATTTAGTAAATTCATTTAATTTGGGTTTTTTTAATTAAAAGATAAATCAATACCCAATAAGACAAATGCTTAATGGAAGGAATACTGTATAAACACTAAAGTATGCTGTTGTTATTGTGTACTGTTGAATCAAAACCAACTCACAGTTGATTCTCCAGTGGGTTTTCACAGGATTTACTCACATAGGAAGAGATTGCTCATCTTTCATCTGCCAAGCATTTGATAGATTTTGATACCTTTGGGATGGCAATGTAAATCCTTAATTACTAGGCTACCAGAGCTCACCTACATCAAAATCTGTTCCCAACTGATTCTGAATTTTATAACGGTGGTCTAATACTAATTAAGAATCCCATGAGCACTACATAAATGCATGTTCTACTCTTTCTCAGTTATAAACTGATTAAATTCTAGTTTCTAAAAGAATCTGTAAAAGGATTCACAGCTTCTCTAAAAAGCTAGTCAATCAAATTTTATTGTCATGGTTCAAATTTAACTAATCATACTAGAGTATTGGCAAAGGAACCAAACATCAGAAATATCCCTTGATCAGTAATTCATTCATCTATTTTTCCTTTCAGGATTCCTCAAGCTGTATATCCAGGACAAATGTGGAAAGTGAACCAGAAAGATAAAAAAACCTCAAACAAACCAACAGACAACCTTTAGTAAGAGAAAGACTTTCAGAGTTAATGCCTTCAAAACTAACCACAGAGTAGTTGGAAAAAGTTATTACCAGCAAAAGATGAGGAATCCAATACTAGATACAAGGCATTGGAGAACTTCAAAACAAACAGAGTATGAATGTCCACACTTCAGTCTTCAAATCCAGATAAAGGTGGTCTGAATACATTTAAGTAATTTTTATAAGAATGTCAATAAGTAGAGTTCAAAATTCTTTGAAGAAATAACTCGAATTCCAGATTTTCCTATCACAGCTCCTTGTCTTCTACTGACAGCCTAAGACATTTTCTGAAGAGTCATGGTGCCCCTGAAACAAACAATCTATTTAGTTTCTTCTTGGGTTCTTTTAAGACTAACAGTACATGTGAATTCAGAAGATCCAATTATTATGTAAGTCCAATTTCCAACATGTAAACACAAAAATGAGAAAGCAAGCAATTTGACTAAGCGGTCAGTTAATATTAAATAGTCATGTTTTGTGGAGGTATGTTTTGGGTTTTGGTTGAATTTTTAAAAAATAGGTAAAAGTTTTCTCTCTCCGTTATATGAGGCCCACAAGAAGACAGACTTCAGAGGCAGAATGACTGAATTTATTTTTATATTTATTTTATATTTATTAGACAAAGAATCTTGGGCAAGTTACTTAATCTCTCTGAACCTCAAGTTCTTCAAACACAGATTTCAAAATTCCCCATACAATTTTAGAGATTACTAGAATGAATGAGTTAACACCTAAAGTGATCAGAAACTCAGTTTGTGATACAAAGTGGTAACTCTGCAACCAGCAGATGTTAGTAATAGTCTATCTGCACCCAAATCTCCTTAGGCATGCAATAATCTCTTCTAAATTCTTTCAGCAACTAAACATTTAAGTATCTCATACAATCCAAAAGGTGACACAGCTACTTATGTAGCTCTTTATCATTACATATGAAGTTATAAATTCCTTGACGGTAAGGATTGTAAAATTTTACTCTGAATTTTAAAAAAATGGCAGTAATTCTAATCTGCTAAACATATCTGTCATTATACAGATCATGGGTAGATAAAACACAATAGCAAAATAAGCATAAAATATGAATTAAATAAAACAAAAACATACCATATTTCGTCAAACTTCTGATGAGCTGGTGAATTCTAAAATCAGGCTCTTATAGATTTTTAACCTAAAAAAATAAAACACCTCACTCAATTCTTTTTACAAATAAAACTTTTAAAAATAAACATGCTTTTAACTAAAATTTGGCATGAAAACAATTTTTGTGTAATATTTATGAGTAAAACATATGAAGGGGGAAATTAGCCTATTACTCGTCAGGATAAATGGAAGAGCAAGTAAGCCCGATGGCTTCAGTGCTGTCAGATGTCAGAGCATTTCCCATTTGCATCCAGAGCAAAGTGTACTTTCTATTTCCTAAATCTTGGCTCTCTCAAAAGGACTAAAGATATATGAGCATATACGAAAAACACTGAACTACAACCCTCTATTTCCTTCAGATATCTAAAGCAATTTATTACGAGCATCTGCTAAATTTGGTACGGATGATGGACATCTATTATCTCTTGACGTGGCAGTGGTGGGTAAGCCCTTTGACTTTCATGTGTCTCAGGTATAAGGTCTGTAAAAGCAAGATAAAACCTACCAAAACTGTTGCAAATATTAACTGTAATGTTACAGTAGGGGGAACAATATTTGGTACATAATACGGCTTCCGTATGCTATAGAATATTTCTTAAATCAACAATTAAATACATCTATCAAAACTTAACCCTAATCAAAAACCAAAATTTAAAGCTTTAAACAGGCTCCAAATAATCACTGGAAATTCTTAAATCCTTTTTATAGACTGGAAAAAAATTCTCTGCATAAAGGAACTGAAGTCCTTGGTTTAAAATGCAATTTCCTTTTATTTTATTATATACAAAGAACTCAAACCCCAATTAATGATGAGTAATGATGTCATTTTGAGGAATAAGGTATATCTGATTCAAGCCACAGCCTTTCTGATCACTTGCTATGCATCTGAGAGCTGGATAATGAATAAGGGTGACAGAAGAATTGACACTTTTGAACTATGTTGTTGGAGAAGAGCACTGAACATTCCATGGACAGCCAAAAGAACAAACAGGTATGTCTTAGAGAGGATGCATTAGGAGTGCTCTTTGGAGGCAAGAATGATGAGGTTTTACCTCATATACTCTGGACATGTTACTAGAAGGGGATATTTCTTGGAGATGAACATGATGCTGCAAAGGGTGGAGGGTTAGCAAAGAAAAGGAAGACTCTTGACCAGGTGGACTAACACGTGATTGCCTCAATGGGCTCTAGTGTCTCAGGAAGTGTGAAGATGGCAAAGGGTAGGGCAGAGTTCATCTGTTGTTCACAGAGTTGCTCTGAGTTGTACTCAACTTGAGAACATCTAACAGCAATTCTACAAGATTAATCCTACTGCATATAAATATTATAAATGCAAATTCTTGGGTCTACATGTAGATATTCCAATCCAAACTGTTACTAAAACGTGCAAAAAGGACTTCCAATTTAGGAAAAATGTCTGGTAAGTTCTTACAAAACTATCCAAAACTCAGTAACTGTTGTTGTTGTTAAGTACCGTCGAGTCATAGGCAACTCATAACGACCCTATGAATGAAAGTCCTCAACACTTGTGTGACCTTCATCCTTTCTCCAGATTCACAGGGTTTCTGGAGACAAGCTATTATGGAAGTGGATGCCACTCCTGCTTCCAACAGTAATTGTACCCATACAGATTTACCCAGGAAAGGGGAGGTGCAACAAGGCTATATCAACAATCTGAACAACAGCCAATATGCGTTGCTCAACATCGGGAATGCAATTATTGTTGTGGTATGTGCTATTTAATTGGAACTGACTCATATCTGACTCTCCAGTAGGTTTTAAAAGGCTGCAAGTTAAATTTAAATTGCAAGTAAGGAGAGAATAGAAATCACATTCCTTTGGATTTGTAGTGCAACTCTTTACCCAGTAGGTCACCAGAACTCTCTGTGAAAATATATCATTGAAATGCAAACTTCAAAACATGGAGTTTACATGGTAAATTTTATATTATATGTATTTTATTGTTATGTGCTGTCAAGTCACCCAAGATTCAAAGCAATCATATGTACAACAGCCCTATACTCTGCTTTATCCTGTGCCAATCTTATTGTCTCTGACACACCTTCCCCCTTTATGCCAGTCACTGAATCAATTCATCTTGTCCAAGGTCTTCCTCTTTTGTGCTGTCCCTCCACCCTCTCAAGCATCAAGCATGATGTATATTTTACCACAATAAGGTAAGTTTTACCACAAAAAGGTAAGTTAAAGATGTTGTTATTCATTGCCATCAAGTCAGAAGTGACTCACAGCTGACCCTCCAGATTTTCAGAGGCTATAAATTGCATGGGAGGAGATTGTACATCTAGTTGATGGATATGAACCATCTGACTTTGAGTTGGCAGTGCAACTCCTTATCCACTAGGCCACCAGAGATGGACATTATAAATTCTACAACAATCATCTGGAAAAAAGGAAGGAAAAGGAAAAAAAAGAGAGCGAGCATAGTAAACAAAGTGAATTTTTTATAAAAAATGTTTGACTAATCCAAAATAAAGCAGAAACAAATCATAATTTGAAAAAAAGAAGGCAAACCGAAAGCATTTTTTAAAAAAAAAAGTAGTGATAAAACCAACCACAATAAAAAGAAAATTAAATCAGTTAAGCAAAAACATTAAATACAGCAAGAAACTAAGAAATTCTGATTATTAAATAGAAACATACAAATACGGAAACACAGATCCTAAGAACGGAGTTATTAACAACGTAGACTTTAGGAAAAGAAAGTATTACCAGAGATTTTTTTTTTAAAGGCCATTTCCTAATTTTATGAGAGCAAGTTTCAATATATATGAAGCAAAGAAAATTGAAGGAAAAAGGGCAATTCACAATTAAAGTTGGAAACTTCAACATCCCTCTAAATTAATAATAGTAAATCAGTATTGATAAGAGAAGAAACATTTCCATAAAACCTACTCTTCACTTATTAACTATCTCATTATTCAACATTTCAAATTTTGGACAACAGTAAAAAAAATACCCAATTATTTTGCACATTAACGGTGTACATATGGATGTAACAAATGGCAAGGCAAGCAGAGGAGAGCCACACTGTCTGCTGTACAAACTGCTTTGTGATATGGCTGTATGATCTGGCTGATTAGGTACAGACTGTGTGGACTCTCTGCAGCCCTCTAGTGGTGACTCACAGCAAAGACCTTTGGGATTTTGCAGTCAAGCCTCCACCTGCCTCTGCAGATAACCATCTTCCTTTTCAGAAGTAGCTTTTGGTTTGCTACTGGAGCTTAGTAGAGACTGAACACCTAACCATGAGCCACCAAGTTACTATGTAGCTATGAGCTACCCAGCTGCTCATTGTCCAGTGGACTCATGAACAAAGTGGTCATGATGGCAGGGTGAATGTTACCAGTTCAGCGACATGGACTTCCAGTCAACACCAACTTGGCTAAATGCTAAGCAGCAGAAACAAACACTCAATCCTCATCTCTCAGCCAGCAATGTGGTAGCAGACAGATTCTTTATGACAGCCTTTCACCCTTACTGAAATACTTACTCTGGATACTGATTTGCCTTCCTTGCATGCAATATTTCTGCCAAGCTACATACAATGGTGTGCCATCATCACAATATCCCACACAACAATGTCTCAGATAAAGGGACTCATATCACTGCAAAAATGCAACCATGGGCTTATGCTCATAAGCTTAACTGATCTTACTATGCTCCCCATCATCCTAAAGCAATGCTTTAATAAAACAATGGAACACCTTTCTTAAAACAATTACAGCGCCAGCTAGATGGCAATGCCTTGAACTGTTAGGGGCAGTGTTCTCTAGGATGCAACATATATTCTAAACCAGCACCCAATACATGGAGCTATTTCTCCATTAGTCAGAATTCAAGAGTCCAGGAACCAAGGGGTGTAAATAGGAGTAGCACCCTCACTATGAACCCTACTGACACACAAAAATTTTTGTTTCTTGTCATTGCAACTCTGCAGATTTTGATGTCTTGGTCTCAAAAGAGTTCAACAGAGTATACTCCCACCTGGAGGCACAAGAATGATTCCACTGAAGTGTATGTCTCTCTCACACACACACACCCCACACACACACACACGCTTCACTGGTTCTTCTCTAGAGAACGTAACTAAGATAATCAGCTTTACAAGTCCTGTTTTAAGAAAGGTCTTACAATACCTACTTACATAACCATCACAATCAAACAGTCCTAGTACAGCAACATATGATGAAATCAAAGTATTAGAACTGAAAAACTCAAAGTAAATTAATCTGGTTATAGACAACTGACCTTTGACAAAATCAATCAACTAAATGTGGCAAAGACAATCCCTTTAACAACTGGTGCTTGAGAAACTGGATAGCTCTTCACACAGTCCATATCTTACACCATTCTGTCAATCCACCTCAATGAAAGATTTCTTTCTCCAGGAAATAGCACCTTCTGATAACATGTCTAAAGTATGTGATAGGAAGTCTCAATATCCTTGTTTCTAAGGGGTGTTCTGGCTGCACTTCTTTCCAGATGGATTGTTCTTTAGGCAGTCCATATTAAATATTCTCCAGCAACATCATAATCCAAGGCATCAATTCTTTGGTTACCCTTACTGTCCAACTTTCATATGCACACAACATAACTGGAACTACCACAGCTTGTGTCAGTCAGACCTTGGCCCTTAAAGTGACAACCTGGGTCAGTTAGACTTTGGCCTCTAAAGTGACATCTTTGATTTTTAAAACTTAAGAGGTTCCTGAAAGCAGATTAGGACCCTAAATTTTTAGGATTATAAAAGGATTAGGACCTTAATTTAGCAGATTAATTTTTGTTGCTAAGTGCTCTCAAGTTGACCACAACTGGTAGCAACACTGTGAACAACAGATCAAAATCTTGCCCTAACCTGCACCATCCTATTTCTACGATGCTCAAGTCCATTGTTACAGTAATGTAATAGGACATTTTCTTCAGGGTAATCCTCTTTTTTGCTGGCCCTCTGCTTTTCCTAAGATTGGTTCATTCTGAAAACATGCCCAAGGTGAGATGAAGTTTCACCA